TAGGGATTGGGCCTGCCCTCTGCCACCCGGGAGCAGGCCTAAGCCAGCAGGTCATTATCTCCCGAGGGGTCCCAGACTGCGAGAGGGCACAGGCCGGGCTGAGGGATGCCCCCTCCCCCCCGAGTGCACAAAGTTTTGTGCACCGGGCCTCTAGTTTTTATATAAGAGATTAATGTTAGCTGGAAAAACTTTTTTTCAAAAAGGTTTTTATTTTATGAAATGCTTAATTTCTGTTTTCAGCCATGAAAGTGTCTAGCATCGATTCTTCAGAACAGAAAAAAAACAAGAAAAACTTAAAGAAGTTTCTTACACGGCGCCCCACTTTGCAAGCTGTTCGTGAAAAAGGTTATATTAAAGGTAGGTAGAAGTATGAAATCAGAAATAAGACATTTGAAATTAAAAGCTAAAAAATTTTCAAAATAAAAATGTTCTCATTCCTTACTCATAAAGTTTTTAGGTTCAGTGATTAAATACATGTGAGTAATTAAAGTTGATTTTAACTAAAGCATTGAGCAGACATAAATACCAAACTATTAAGTTTTTAGCAACCCTGTACTAGAGGAACTACACAAGTGTGACCATACGGGTGGCACATTTTTATTTATTATTTAAAAATGTATATTTTTTTTATTTCAGAGAGGAAAAGAGAGGGAGAGATAGAAACATCAATGATAAGAGCGAATCATTGATCAGCTGTCTCCTGCACGCCCCGCACTGGGTATCAAGTCTGCAATCCGGGCACAAACTTTGATCTGGTTCATAGGTCGATACTCAACCACTGAGTAACACCCACTGGGCACGTGGCACAGTTTTAGAAGACATGATTTTCAGTTTTGAGATGTACAGATCAGAAGAAATTTTGAATAGACAATCATTAACACAGTAGAAAGAAGAAAAAATAACGAATAAGCAATTTTATTCTTATTTATCTTCACTTCTCATTGAAGATAATTTAAAAATTAATATATTTCTTATTTCATTAAAAGAACGATAATGCACAGGATCTTGTCTTTGTAAGAAAGCATTCTTTTAAAATTATATATGACTTAAACAATATACAATATTCTTAGAAGCATGTTTAATTCCAAAGGTAAGTTTTTTAATACATAATTCAAAACAGTGATAGTTATTTTAAATAAAGGTATAGGTAAAGGATATATATAAAATATATGTTTGTCTCTGATTATGAAGTTTCTGACAAAAATCATCACTGGTACATCTGTTTGCAGAGCATCTGAATTAAAATACACAAATGGGTTAAAAGATACTTAAAACTTTTAGGAAGAGTTCAGCTAATTAAGTGATTCATATTAGCAACCTAAGAGTTACAGACAAACAAATACTCCCAGATAATGTATATTAATTTAATATTTTGAGTTTAGAACCTTAAAAAAAACTTCAAAAATAAATGAATTGAAACAGCCACTAATTTGTTCACCAAGCCTTTTCACTAAAAAATATAAGCTGTTGCCATTTTATGTTGTTATTCACTACTTCAGATATTTTGTTTGTTTTCATGAATGCTTAGCACAAGTGTTGGCATTTCAAAGCTTTCACGCTGAAAGATTAATAGAAGTCTTTGAAATAAATTTTGTGAAATCAAGTGTTGGCTCGTTTTAATACTTGAGTATGTACTAAATGCCAAGTGTTCAGTTGGGAGGTCCTTGCCCTCACAAAATTTATATATAAAAATGAGAGATGGACAACATAATTTAAAAGAGTAACGTCTACTATGAATTATCTAACATCGTAATAAAATAGTGACTGGAAGTGGGTTATGATAGATGGGATGTTCAGAGGGTTTTCCTATGGCGATGACATTTAGCTGAGACCAGGATTGATGAAATGAGAAGGAGCTCAATATAGGTGAATATTGATCTCTACAGATGCCATAGAAAGTAATAAAGTTCTCAAGCAAATATAAGTTGGGGTGTTCATGGAATTTAGTAAAGAAGGAAAATTGTTTGAAATGAAATTGGAAAAGATAAGCAGAGTACAGATCACATAGAGTATAATCATGGTAAGCAATTCTGGATGCACTCAGTGGCTTTATTGCACTGTGAAATGGTTTAGCTGTTTTGTGAACTAAATTTTAGCAAAGTGATTCTTTTTGGAAAAACAATCTCTTTCAGATCAGGTATTTGGAGCCAATCTTGCTAATCTGTGTCAGAGAGAGAATGACACAGTGCCAAAATTTGTGAAATTATGCATCGAATATGTTGAAGAATATGGTAAGAAAATCATTTTTTTCTAAAATGTTAAGCACACCAACCCATCGTTGCCATCAAAATCCCTAGGGTTTTTATGATTTTGAGTGATGAAACCAAAAGTCCTCCATAATTGGAAGATGTTAAGAAAAGCATCTTGTGTGTAAAAAAACTTACGTGCTTGTACCTGTTTTAAATTAAGACCTTTGTGGTCATCCATTAAAATGTTCAGTGCTTATGATTGCTTTGTATCTGGTGTTCTTTGAAGCCATTTGGAGTTGGCATTTGCTTAAAATGAAGAAGTTAGTGATTTTGAAACTGATTTTTCTAAATGATTTGACAATGTAGAAGATATGAGGAGATTATGTTTACTTACTAAGAGAAAGTTCTTTGTTTATAATAAAAATGAGATATTTTAAAACTTAAAACAACTATAAAGTTATCTAATCTTTTTTATGTCATTTACTGTAAAATAAGACAAACTAATTTCTATTTTGATTAATTTTAACATGTTTATAATATACTAGTTTTATATAAATTAACAGTATCTTGACTAATCACATTATATCTGTATATCTTTAAAAACATCATGTACAATTAAAATATTTACATAATTCATAATTTCTGCCAGTTCAGATCTCATCTCTTTCTCTTTGTCAGCATGGTAGTACAGTTACTGTGCTACTTGCCTTTATTTAAAGTTAAATGAATAGCTTTTTAAAATTTGTACAGCATTATCACTTAATGAATATTTAAATTTTTAGGCTTAATTGGGTGAATTTCAAATGATTCTATTTCACATATAAAATGTTACTAAATTATAAATTGTTTTTATTGAACCATTATTTTAGTTGCTAGCTTGTACTAAGTTTGTCACAAGCACATATTAATATGGCAAACATTTTTTTATTTGAAATTGTTTTATTCTTTTTTATATGTAATTAAATCTTTATTGTTCAGATTATTACATTTGTTCCTCTTTTTTTCCCCCCATAACTCCCCTCCTTCCAGTTCCCACCCCACCCTCCGCCCTCACTCCCCACCCACTGTCCTCATCCATAGGTGCACGATTTTTGTCCAGTC